CCCTCTCTTTCCTGGAGAATGTGACTCAGAAGAGAAGACTGATCTACACTGGGCCCATCAGGAATCCATGGAGGCAAGAGGCCAGTCAATCTCCTCCAGTTCCCATAATTTGCCTCCTTCGATAGCTCCCAACAGTTTCTGGTACCATGTCTATTGTACTACTTTATCCATTGCTTTCCAAAACTGTCTTTAAAATATTTAGTCATTTTGAATTGCTACCAACATTGTCCAACCAACACAAGTGACTGAAGGTAAATAGTATTATTTTTAGTGATGTATGTCTCCTAAGAAGTTGATTGGAATTTAGCATCAAGCTACATGCCTGGCTGACTCTCAAAGCATAACAGATGCAAGGGTTTTTCAAACCAAAAGCTGAGAGTCTATCTTACATTTTGTCCTGGTTTTGGCTGGGATAGAGTTAATTTTCCTCCTAGTAGCTGGTATAGTGCTGTGTTTTGGATTTAGTATGAGAATAACGTTGATAACACACTGTTGTTTTAGTTGTTGCTAAGTAGTGCTGACACTAGTCAAGGACTTTTCATCTTCCCATGCTCTGCCAGGTGCACAAGAAGCTGGGAGGGGGCACAGCCAGGAGAGCTGCCTCAGCCTGGCCCAAGGGCCATTCCATACCATACGGCGTCATGCTCAGTATAGAAACTGTGAGGAGTTGGCCGGGGCGCAGCAGTCGCTGCTTGAGGATGGGCTGGGCATCGGTCAGCAGGTGGTGAGCAATTGCACTGTGCATCACTTGCTTTGTGTATTCTTTTTTTATTATTATTATTTTCTCTTCCTCTGCTGTCCCATTAAATTGTCTTGATCTCAACCCATGGGTTTTACTTTTTCTTTCTGATTCTCTCCCCAGTCCCACCAGGGGGCAGGGAGGGTGAGCGAGCAGCTGCGTGGTGCTTAGTTGCTGACTGGGGTTAAACCATGACACCCTTGAATGACCTTATTCTGTTCCCTCCTGTCGACTTCATTAGTGTTGGACTCCTTTCTAGAGAAGGACACCGGTTTGGGACAAAGAAATTCTTGAACTTCAGGACTGAACTGCAGGAAGTTTTCTCCTGCTGCATTGCCTGCTCCCAGAGACTCCGCTAGAGCCGTAACTTTGATGGAGCACTTGTATCACTTAACATTCGTAGTTTACGATAAGCTCTATTTACCTTGGGCAGTATATTTTTTTATATTTCTAAACCACCTGGACACACTTTAATATTTCGTTTTTAAGGATTCTTCACAGTAACATGGCAGGTTAAGTATCACCATAGCAACACTTTACCTCAATGTTTTGAACCTTTACCTCTCTTTACAAACTACAGAAGTGCAATGAAAACCTGTTCCAAATGACTGCACAACATATGAAAATCTTTCTCTGAATTTAGAAACCCCATTTACATACCATCAACTTCAGCACTGAGGCCCTTCATGGAAGCTGGAAAGGAAGAGAGAGGGGAAAAAAAATGCTAATGAGTATCATTCATATTGTGAGAATGGGAGTTTCCACAAAAGTTGAAGGACTTCATTTTTTTTATTTGTTGATATTTTGTTTCCCCTCCCTCCTCTTACCATCAGGAACAGCTTCAAATTCTGTCAACTCCTGAGAAAATTTAGCCAAATCAGGTTCATGTAAGAAGATCTGTTCCACAAGGGCATGAAGCAAGGTGAATGTCCTCTCCTTACCCCGCAACAGAGGTAACTGCAAATAGAATAGAGCAATAATTGACAGACTGAGCTATTATACTTAAAAAAAAAAAAAAAAAAAAAAAAAGAAACAGCAGGGATGTTGATAGCTCCCAGGTAAATTTGACAAGAATAGAAAACATAATGAAATTAAACTTCTTTTCAATCTGCCACTTCACAGACATTCTTGGTTAAGATCAGCTTTACACTTTCATATCTGTTGACCTTCTTTGTTCTTTTTGTGTCGTCTTATTCACAGGGGTCTTTTTTAACTTAAGGTATCCTAATTGATTGCAACTGATTTTGGACCTCCAAACACAGTCATTATTCCTTTCCACTTAAAAGCAGTGTGCTGTGTTCACGTAGATAGTAAAGTTCATTAATTGAATATGGGACGATGTTCTGTGGCAGAAAATGATTTTGTAGGCATTTTTCATTATGATAGATGTGGTATTACAGCCATTATATATATATTAAAAAAAAAAAAAAGAATGGAAGTTACATCTCAGAATTGTCACTAGAGTTATAAATCACTCACTCATATATTAAAGTCTCCAGATGGAAAGATACCTTACAAAAACAAAATAGAAATTCTCTCTTCTGTTCACAGATCAGGCATAATCTTACAATAGTGTTAAAGGTACAAGGCAGCTTAGGAAATTTGTATCTATTTCTTACTTTTTAGGATAAGAGTATGATGCTCTGCCACTGCTGGGTGAAGGAGGCAGGGAGGGAAATCTCTGTGCTCAGTAGCAGCATTTTCTGATGGCAAATTCTGATGAAGAAGGGAAAGCAGTTTCCTTAAAACTAATGGGAAACCCAGCCTAATGTCACACAAGTGGTAGGTCAATGAAGAGACAATTAAAGAACTAACACCTAGATGACGCTTCCTGTAGAGCAGATCTCTATCAGGAAAGAGTAAAGATCACAACTGCCACCTTCGTCCCCTGTTCAATCATCCAGCAGAGCAATGATGGGGTTGTTAAAACCATTGCAGGCAAATTTCACTCCCTTTGAATTTATTAATTTATTTACATTCTACGTCTGAAATTTTACCTTAAAATGGCATTGTACCACTTGTTGCAAAAGACCTTTGCCTTGGAGTAAAATGAAGTGCTAAGGAATTATTCCAGTGCCATAAAAGTGCAACTACCATGGAAGAAATGCCATAGTTACAGCCTCTGACCACAGTGAAACGAAGAGGATCCGTACAACAGCGCCCTGCACAAAACTGCAAAATACCGTTTATCTAAACTTGCATCTAACCAGGGCCCTGCAGCTCAGATGCCTCTTCTAGCCAGGGGATCTTAATATCAGGCAGTCAGGATTTTGATGTTCTACCTCATTAGAAACACGGTGTGTTCAACACCCCAATGCCCCCATCTAGCCAGTGCTGCTGTCTAAAATGGGGAAGTGTATCTTGTTATAACACACATTAAAGAATACATTGTTAAACAGGATTTTGTTTCTAGTGTAACCAACAGCAGATGTTAAAATGTTATCTACTCATTAAAAATGATTGCCTTTCTCCACATTCAGGGGAAAACTGAGTTAATATTAATGGCTAACGTACCTTAGAATATGATGATTTTAACGACAAGAAAAATATTTACTCACTTTGGTCAAAGACGACAATCGAAACCCTTTAGCCTTCTCTTTTCCAGCCTTTTCGTTTAAATGGTTCCCAATGGCTAAAATGTACTCCAAGACAGCAACAAATTTCTGGCTGGATTGCAGCTGCTTACTCGCTTGGATTTTCTGGTTTATTAGCTGAAACACACAAATCTTCCTTCAGTTCAAATTGAAAATGTGAGTAAATCAATGGTGCCCATACCTTCCCTTTGCCGAAAGCCTCATTGTCCCCCGCTGAAGCAAGTCACACTCTAGCTGGTGGATGTCTTCCTGTCCAGCTTCCCTGGGGGAACAGGCCAGGGGTTTTCAGGAAGGACCAGTTAAAAGTCTCCCACCAAGCTAAATGTCACACAAGCGTGTGGTGTTGGCACAGTTACCTACCCCCGATGGAGGTCACATCCTTTCTGGCTGCCAAACAAGCCTTGCCAAAATTACTTCAACCTCATCTCTTAAAAGTGCTTCTGAAGAAAAAGTATTTTGCTGTTTGAATGCACCAGATTGCACCGAATGTCAGGCATCAGGGGAAGCAGATAGCCTGAAGCGCAGTATAAGGTTCTCCATCCTTCACCTCCCTCCCTTCTGTTTATACCAGCTGAAGACTGTTATCTTATCAAAATTCTTAGCACAGTTTCCCCACAAGGAAGAACAATAATTTCCTGTAATCAAACTCAGTATCAATTTCTGTTTTCCTGGGGAAGCCACCTCCCTTCTAGGGCTATAGACACAAGAAGTGGCTTTGTTTTAAATTAGGAAATGCATATTTTTTTTTAGCACCACACCTCTCTTCATCAGTCACCAACACACAAATTTAAAAACAGGGAAAGGACTAAACACACGGGAGAGCTGAAAGCCATTGTTAAAACATTTATAGCACGTCACAGGGCCAGAGGATGCTTAAAGCCAATATTCAGATTGTCCCACAGAATTTTAGGTGTATAATCTATGGTTAACAAACGTATTAGAGTGTATAAGTAAGAAAATACTTAGACAACTAATCAGCTCTTCAATGAACATCAAATATCCATCAAAGCAAACAGTATATATACAAGCTTCCAAATAATCAAATATTTGGTTTCAGTGGAGGACAGCAAAGGTGTAGCATTGTACCAGGCAGGGTCAGAAATCTGTGCATCTCCCCAGTGTTTTCCATCTGTTCTTTTTGTGAGTTTTCCCCACTGTTACTACAGATTTCATCACAGCCAGACAAAGGATAACAACTTGGACTTGCAGAACTTTCAAATTTTGTTTTCATTCCCATGCAGAATGAGAGCAAAACCTTTGAAACATTTTCATAGGAACAGAATTGTGTCAAAATACTTTGTTTTGAATCAAAGCATATACAAACCCTGGCAGGTAAGGCAGCGGTTTGGAACAGGAACATCCAGTCCATGAGACTGGAACGCTGTTTATTTGCATGCCCCCAACCCTAGGTCATCCTGAAAAAGGCAGAGAGGGACTTGAACTCTGCTTTGCCATGTTTCAATTCAGTGCTGTAATCCTTAGGGTGAATGTCCTCCTTCAGTCTTCTGAAAATAGTCAATGTCTATGAGGTGCTGGTCAAATAAACTTTCTGTAAGTATCTATGACTTTAGATTAATTCTTTCAGCTTGTGGGGCAAGAACGTCCCCACAAAAGGAATTCAATTTTAATGGTGAAATTCACTTCTGTCTTATCACTGGCCAAAGAAAGAGGAAGGCTTAACAATGCAAAATAAAAATTTGAAGATCCTTTCCTGTACTTTTCTCCCTCCTTTGCGAAAGTCTATTCCACTGCCAGGCCATTAGCAGCTGCATCTTGAACCTTAGTGGAATAAGGATGATATTAAATGCACATACATGTATATACATGCGTATCATAGCCCTCATTTGTCTCCATTTTTTTCTTTTACTGTGTTTTGTTTTGAACCAGTACTGTGGAATACCATCATTAACAAAACACAATAAAATGAATTGGATTCCCAAAAGCATTCCAAATGCACCAACCGATAGTGCCACTATACTTCAAATACAGCCTTGTCTCTAACAGTTTCTTGTCATTTACAATTCCTTGGCTATCAAAGTGATGACCTATAGAGATTTTATGAAATATTTTTAACTTTTTTGCTTGTTACCTTTGAACAGTGCCATGAAATGTTTTTTTATATACTAGGCTGCCTGGATTACCACACTATGAATTGCTCACATTCTGGACTGTGAGATATTTTGCTAAAGGGGAGGGGAAGAAAAAAAAAAAAAGGAAAAAAACCAAAACAAAACTTCCCCAACTACACAGCTTTGAAATCTGCGTCGAGGTCACTTGTTCCTCCACTGTCTAACTGGTAGATTTTGATTACAAACACACTATGAAGGAGGCATGTTACTTACAGGCTCCAAATCTCTCATGCTCACAGGGAGCTCACGTATGGTAAGCAGGAGATCCAACCTCTGGCCTAAGTGGGGGATTTTGCACATCTGCATAGAATTGAACAGATTAGGAATCAAAACCTGTGTTTATACCCAAACATGCATATAACTTTCATAATTTATCGAGTAATTCATCTGCACCATAGTTTCCCTAATTTCTGTGCTCATTTATTAATTTTATTCTAGGCCTTAAGTCTGTAGATATACTATGGCACATACCTGAATCATTTTTGCATATGCAAATCAATTTTGCATCATTTGCATATGCAAATTCAAGAAGACACTGTATGCCAGTAAGGTCAGACGTTATTAAAAATCAATGACACTCATTTCTTGTGAACAAGAATGGTTAAATGCATACAACTTTATGCTTATAGATTTTGGAAATCTAGCTCAGAATAAATCAGCTCCTACTTTGGAGGGAGGGCATGTGACTCGGAGACACAAAGGGATCCATACAGTTCTCTTCATAATATCTACCTGTCTCAACTCTTTATCAGATAAATCCTCTTATACTGATTCTGGCTGAGATTGTAAATTCAAGTTCCAAACAACAGCTTCTTGTGGTGGTTTTATCTAGAAGACAGTGTCCTAGAAATAGCATGTGGTGTCTTTTAATGCTGTACCTTCTTACCTCTAACATAAACTGATCAACCACATGCAGCTCTGAAGGAGACCCCCTGAATGACTGGTACCTTTCTGCATCTTTCGGCGTTGGCATGTATCTGTAAAACAGCAAATGAAAATTACATGTCCTCTTCCTCTTCATTCTATATTGTTGTGACATAAAACAATCATTCAATCCCATACGTCGGAATTTCTTACTGTTTAGTGTGTTTTACATATTGCATATTTATTCTTTAACCATTGGAACTTTATAGACATTTGAGCCAACTATGCGATGGAAAGCAAAAATTATCTGCAGATACATACTGGATGATCTTAAAGGTCTTTTCCAACCTCAACGATTCGATATCTGGAAATGCTTATATATACATAAGGCTTGAAAATTAGTGTTCACCTGCAGATCTGCAAACAATTTACAATGGCATGGGCTATTTTGGAAAAGGTAAAACAATGCAACAGAGGAGCTAAAGCCATAATTTCCGAAGAGGTTCATTAATTCTGTGCTCGATACATACATGCCTTGTTTTCATTGATTGGATGAACATATCTGACAACCTTTCCAAAGCACCTAGAAGCAATATACACTTTCTGAGCAGTTATGGCCATGCTGGCTTAGCTTGTCTCCAGCAATAACTTCTTTGAAAAATTAGCACAAAAGCAGAGCAGACCCATGCTATAGTGCGATTAACCAGTGGGGCCCACGGTCTGACCGACTCCTAACTCTAAAACTTTTTAATTGCCCATGAAAAAAGAGTGAGCAATGGCATTTCTGTCTCTCTAAGCACTGCATCACATCCAAGATCCATTTCTCGGGTTTGTTATGATAGCATGGGACACAGACCCACAACTTCCTTCCTTCTGCATAAGGTAACAGAATATTCTCCCATAGTACTCCAGAGCTGCAGATTTTTAGAAAACTGATGTCTTTAAACATGCCTCCGCTTGGAAAAATACACACACCACCACAGTTCCCCTCCTTTGGAGATCTTCCTGCCTGTCTGACTGATACACTACGGGAATTCATAGCATATCTTAAGAAAAATTAAATAGATGTTATAGCTAACATGTGAGAAGGAGTGTTAAGAATCTTAAATAAGCATTCAGGTCTAGTATCTTCTCTTCTTTCTCTGCCAACAACCTACTAAATTTGTAGCAAATATGATTAAACATTCATGGGGACGGATACACATTTTCATTAAAAGTATGGAAATTTATTCAAAAGTGGAAAACATAAAGCAAAGATTTTAGCATGTTAAATACAGGACAAATAATAAGATTTTTTTTTTTTTACTGTTGTCAATAATTTAATATGACATTTCAATTGAATAATTGCTGGGGTTTGAATTATTAAATCTATATTAAAGCAGATTACAAAAAATTCCATTCATCACCCTTCACCATCAAGAAAAAAAATGAATTCTCATTTAAAAATAACAGTTATCTGTTGGCAAATGAAAGGGGTTTTATTTATCATTAAAAATAGTTGGACTTTTTAAGCAAATTCAAAGAACATTTTTTTTAAAGCTGACAGCAAATATCTTCATTTAATCAGAAGTCTGATATCCCATCAAATTGTTTTAATGTATTATGTATATGAAATGAAACTAGCAGATTATCTAGAAGGCTTAAAGCTTAAAATGTTAAACAGTGGAAGCCATGGAAAAGGAAGCACAAGAATATGTGAATGAATTCCATAAATATCTTTTTACATCAATGCAACTCTAATGGAATCTGTGCAACGAAAAATCTCTCACTGTTCTGAAAAATTAAGTTTATAGAGGTAAAGGGTGCTTTGCTATTGAGTTTAAGACGTCAGGATAAAGAATCATTCAGAGACCTATGGAAAGGTTTCCGTATCAAAATAAGTCCTGAAGTTCCTAATAATATTCTACCACCTCCACTAACCTTCACTGGATACATGAGCAGAACATTTTGCTCACTGGTCACAGTCTTGAAAATGTAATCTTGGTTTTGGCTTTACATATTTTTCATTCTACAATAGGAGAATTTAAACTTCCTGCTCAGGCTTAGACAGTATGACAGCTATAATTTGTACAGAGAGGAATTTTCCGGCCACTGACTGTCCTGTTTAAACTCCTGTCATAACCACAGGTTCTCAATTGACTGGAGGACACAGTTTTCAACGATAAAATTTTCCACCATGGCACCTAAATCAAGTGGAAAGGTCTTCAAAAGTGCTAGGTCTCCTGCTACTCGTATTGCGCCAAGTCTACTACAGCGCATCGTACAAGAGAAACTTGTGAGTGCTGATGTTTCAAGATAAGCGTCCGCTCCTTCGATGAGATGGCTGAATGGGAGCTGTAAGACACTGAACGGCCCTGGAAATCCAACCCTCAATTCTGAAATGCATCTCATCTATTTCAGTAACACTTTTAAAACTGTTGGGGTGGAAAAAATTAGCTTCCTTTCACTACAAGATTTGTAGATGCATTCCTAGATTTTAGCAATAAATAAGAATCCCAGGAACAGACTCCTTGATCCTATATAGCATATAGCAATACGGCATCCAATATCTCTTACACATTCCATTGCTAGAAAAATTTCCTCAGCATTATTGCTGTCAAAGGAAGACTCTGAAATCTTCAAGGAAAAAATAAAATCTTTCAAGCTTCATTGCCATCATCATTATTATTATTATTATTATTATTATTATTGTCTGATGGCAAAGAGCCCAGATGCTATAAATCAGTGATCTCAGTAGTGTTACACCAATTTCAACAGCACGGAGATGCTGGACTGAATCTGCAGTGCTGTACGAGGGCTTGAACAACAGAGTGTGTTCAGTGTTTTCCTTCAAATCGAGGTGTGAGCAGAGGCTGCCCTCGTAAACGGGGCTGGCCAGACCCAAGCACTCTGCTGTCCTGCGGGACTGGAGGCATTTTCTTACTTCTGCCAGCTCCAACCATTTGTTTCTCCAGACAGCCACATGTGTAACTGGAGAACACTCTCGATGTCCAAGACATTTCACTGCAGTTATCTCCTGACCAATTCCATCACTGCAATTAGAAACTGCAGTACTGCAGTAAGATCTTTCTTTTTTGAATGAAACCTTTAAGGCCAGCTTTTGAAAGGCAATGGAGCTCCATTAGACTCTTGCTTACACTCCTGAAACCTATTTTTCCTCAGTATAGTAATTCAACTTTTTTTAAAGATACAGAAATTTACATTCTGCTTTAAACCCACGAATCTCTGCCACTCAGAAATACTGATATTCTTAATATCCCATCATCCCATGAAGCTCCTTTAACACTTGTCTGCCTTCCTCCTCTCCAAACCAGTTTTAAATCTTTCATTTCTGATCCCACAACAGACGGTAAGGCTGTAGTAAAAGATGTAAAATTTTCTCAAGTTACACCTGCTCACTGCCACAATTTATTCTCTTACTAATTCTGCTCCTTGTAACTAGTTCACAAAATCATGTCAGATTTGCTGTCATTTCTTGCAATCCCCTTTCCTACACAACATGGGAGAAAGTGATATTTTGGGGGCATACTCTAAAATCTCAGTTGCAAGGCCTGAGATTTCTGTGTGCAACCCTAATATTTTATTCGCAGTCAGGATAGATCCAATGTCTCAGTAGCATCTTTCCTGAACTTTGCATTATTTGCAGAAGATTAGGCCTTCTCCAAAAGGTAACATGTATTATAAACAAACAACTGAACCCCAAAGATTACCTTCTTAGTGCTGTAATCTGCTCATCTGTAAGTCCACCACTCTCTTCATGTATAATGTATAGTTTTTCTTTCAGCTCACTTGGTTTAATACGGAAACTTTTAAGAAAAATATCTGGAGGAAAATGATTCTTAGATTACTTGGAAGAAAATGCTCAAGGGAAGGAAAACCACCAAAACTTTTCATACTTTCCAGATTTAAAAAACAGAAAAAAACAAAAACCCAAGAAAACATTTAGTAGCTGCTAATGCTAAGGCAAAAACTCAGTCTTCATATTTTTCTTTAAATATACATAGCAGTAGTCAAGCAAAAATATATTTCTGTCATAACATAGTCAGTGCTTAAGACAGAACTAACGGAAGGTACTCAAGTACTTGCTCGTATATATTTCTCTTGTACTCAGCTCAACAGTCAAAATAATATTTTTCCAAATGACAATACAATGTATTGGCATATTATAATAATTTGAAGGTTAAAGAAATTAAACAAGAAAGTAAACAAAATCAAGACAAATGGAAAATTTAATTTCCAGGGTTCAAAAGAAGGTAGTTAGAGACCATGCAAGAAAAATTACTCCCAAAATGAAGGCAACCTGGGAAACAGAAGTGCTCAGTTCTTCCACACTACCTGATACTCTAAAATCTGATTAAGAGTTTTTGTAATGTTTAAGACTTCAGTGCTGACATGGGGCTGGCTCATAATATGCACTATGATAGGAAAATGGAAATGAGATATCTCTTCCCCAAACAGGTGAAGAACCATTTGTAAGGCCATTGCTCCCAAAAAGACGACTTTGTCTTGCCAGTTATTCTTTAATTACTGTCTGCCTGCATCATCGTTACCAAAGGATGAAGGTAAAAAAGGAAGCACAAGGAAGTGAACAGGAGGCATCAGCAGAGAAAGCAAAAAGGTTTAAATGTTTCTTAATGTTGGCAGGAAACTTGTCCTAGAGTCTCTGCTACAACAGAACTCCTCTGAGCAGCACAAGAGGATTGGGAAGGAGAATTCAGGAAGGATATGTTATGTATGATTTACCTTTTTTTTTTTTTTCCTCCAATTCTCAAAAGGAACAGAGTTTTTCAGGTTATAGGAACTTGCTGTGGCCTGAATCAGCTGTTAATGGTTCTCAGGAGGCTGTTAGCCAATGGAGTATATACCATTTATTCTTCCTCTGACACACTTTCCACCCTTTTAATTTTGTTATAAGATCTAGCTTTAGTGCTAAACCTGGCACAATCTTCCCTTTTTCTTTCTTAGGCTTTTTATGCCTTATATCTTTTGCTTCCCTATGCCTTTTAAACCATGTATCTCTTGAGGTGTGGTGATGTCTACAGACGATAACAGAGTGAATAACTCATAGTAAATGTTGATTTTAAAATTTTACCAGCCTGTCTACAAAGCATTTAATATTTTCCTGAATGTTTTCAGTAGTTGAAACTAGCCGCCCAATAAATTCTAGTCATCAGACTTTGCCAAAGTATTTTCCTAGGCAAAATAAGGATTGTATATATGGGAAACTTTCTCATACAGAGAAACAGGCACCAGTCAAGTCACAGAAGCTCGTATTTTGACTCCTAAATCACTTTTTGACCCCCTAGATCCCACATTTGTAGATTAACATATACATTATAGTGTATATATAATGTATAAGTATATATAATGTATATCTTTCTGATACCTGTTCTCTGTATGGCAGAAATTTATTCTGTCTACAAAAATCCACTATATAACATAGCTTTTATTTGCATTTTCTCATACATTGGGCTTGAACTTAGTGTGTAGATCTTCTCTCAGAACTCTAATTTTTCTCTTGTGTTCAGAAACCCACTCAAATTGTCAAGAAATTTTGACCTACTGGTATTTTGGAGCTTCATCTTTTTATTCGTTAATTTAAGGACTGTGGTTTGCAGCACCTGCAGGAAGATTAATCATAATTCTGGGGATCAAATTAACTTTTGATCTAAGTAATGTCCATTATAATAAGTATACGCCAAAAATGTCACTGATGGGACTTTAAGGATAAGATTAAGAAACGGATGTAGAATGTCTCAATGAAAAAAGTTGTAAGAGGAATAGGATCAAAAGGAAGAATGGTGCTATTTGCAAACCAAAAGAAAGACATTTCCTCAGAGAAACTGCAATAATTTAGTAGATAAAAGTGCTATTACAGGATTCTTTTTATCTGCAACAGCACTTTCGTATCACTCACTTCCTTTTAACCCTTCAAATTGTTAGTCAACGGATGCAATAATTCCAACAAGTTATCTCCATTTGCAGTTCCCAATTAAAACTTTACACAATCTCCAAATTATATTCTTTCTTATCAATATTCATAAAGATGAAATCATTAAAACTTCAAAATCAATTGCCCCAAATTCTTTACAGATGTAACATTTCTTAAGACATCGCTAGGTTATAGAACTTTTTTGGAAAGCCGTCTCTGTAATAGAAATCAGAGTAGTCTTTGAAGAACAATTACTCTTGCTCCTTTAATATCTACCACTTCTCATCAAAGTAATTGAAAGACCTTTACATCATTTTATTAGTAAGACCAGAACTATGTGTTGAACTGCTTCATTAGCTGTGAAAGACTGTTCTAGGTCAGGCCTTTGGCAGAATCATCCCTGGGATATGAAAGGGAAGGATGCTGTTCATGATCATTCAAGACGGCCATTCATAGTCTAAGCTATCGGCCAGAGAAAAGCCAAGAGAGTTCCTATGACCTGGCTTGCAGCTGCCTCAAAGGCTTCTTACACCAACCGATCTACACCTGCATGAATATTCTTGAACACAATGTAGGAGAGAGACTGAGCACAGTTCTAGCTACCAAGTTGTTTCTGTTGGTTTGTTTCACCTGAACAGCCCACAAAATTTAAAAAGCCTTTGAAGTCAGAGTCTTAGCACTGATTTCACAGGTGTCATACCTGATTTTACATCTGCCCTAAGACAACAGCATCACAGCTCAATGGCACACCTACATGTTTTGTACAAGAGGAGCTTGGTGCTTCTACTCTACCTCATTAAGGACCATATTTAGAGCAACTGAGCCACGAAGTCTATTTTTATAAATGTTTAGAGGGGCACTGAATTAAAAGATGATTTAGACACAAGCTTGTCTCATTGCTTATTGAATGACAGAAAGTACAAATAGAAAATGCATGCAATGCTCACCCCTGCCTTCCAGATAGCAGTACACAGATCTTATTAATACACTTACTGAAGTTATGTGCAACTTTTCGATCTAACATGATATGCTGATTCACTGAAGGTTCGTTGCCCAAAAATACTGTCATGTCCTGGATCTGGAACTGATCACAGAGTCTGGATACATCTATTTTTTTCTTGCATGGGTCACATGATCCCCAGACAGATTTTTGAATCTAAAAATATAGGAATGACAGGGTAAACAAAAAGCCAAAAGAACAGAGGCACTTTGTTCCATCCAAACATAGAGAAGGGCACCCAGGTTGTCTTGTGGCGCAGCTGTACTTTTATGATAACTATACATGTAATGCAGGCCACAATATGTTTTTTCTTTAACAGCTACCATCAGTTTCATCCTCACCTTATCACAAGGAACAACATCCCAGTGAAAGGCTTTGGTTCTCTTTGTCGATGGAGAGAGGCTGCAGGGCTGTTGGAATGGAGGTGGAGCTGGCGGTACCGCTGCCTTGCTTAGGGGAAGGGGAAGAGATGGTGCTGCTGGGGCTGCTTCCCCCTCTGCTGGCTTTGTCTGCGGGCTTGAAGACTTGTTCAGACTGGTTGTTGCAGAACTCACACCAGAGTGGAGGGTGTCCTCTTTCTGTTCATTCAGAGGTACAGTAAAATCCTCATAATCAGCTTCGGAGGAGGTGCATCCTTGAGATCCCTCCTGAGGCAGTGGGGCACCCTTGCACAGCTGACAGTACCTTTCTATGAGAGACACCCATTCATTCTGGAGCTTGCTAACATCCCCTGTCCTGTTATTTTGGACAGTAAAGGGTATTCGAAACCTGCAATTTAAGAATGTCATATATAAATGCAAGGAAGTGTAAATAACATGCTGACTAATACAGCCAGAGATATTTCTTATTTAAGCAGAATGATGTTCAGCAGCTTTACTTGTCAAAGGAGCCCAGTGCTGCTGACTCTGACCTTTTCAGACAGAGTTAATTGCTTACATGTCTAAGGTTAGAGAGCTGAAGTTTTGCCATATATTGACTTTGTGGTGCAGTTACCTCGTAATTCCTCTTCTCCACCTTGGGGGAAGGTGAACAACGTGCTACGTCTTACTGTGCTTGTTGCACAGGCTAGTCAGAACCTGTTCACACATATGTGCTATCAAGCTGAATGATATATCTCTTCACTGGCTCCTGACATGACAACTAGACAAGTCTTTGTGGGCAGTATTTCAAATATATCTTCTCAATTCCACAATGTGGTACTTTCGATTCCTCCTTAAAAATACTCATCAAATCACTGCAAAGCAATGGGAGGCGTAATCTATATAATTCTGGTGGCCTCATTTCTCCACTGTTGTATTTTGTTATGGGGCATTGAGATTCTCTGTTGCTCAACCTTGTTTTCAGTAGTTCTGCTTTAACAAATTATTAATTACCAACTATACTTACAAATAATTGTGTTCTTTGGTCTGAACTGAAAAGGTGCTGCATCCATTCTCCTTGCTGACATTCACATTACCACCTGACAAATTAATTGTATTTGTTACAGGGTCTGGAGTCTTGTTCTTGCCTCCCAGACCTATGCAATATAAAGTCAATTCTCCTTCACGTAGTTGTACCAAGTACCTGAAGGACAAGGAATGGAGATACAGTTCATTCTTCACTGACTACTTATTTACACAAGCCTTGCCTTTGTTAAAGCATTTTCTAATGTCAATAAGTCTCCACATTTTTATAACATCTTCCATGGAACAGTCAAAAAGTATCAATACTAAAGGATAAAACCTTTGAGATGAGGGCTTCTTATTCTCATCTGACACACGTCAGTAAACTGTGACATAAAATATGAACTTCCAGCCTGCCACGCCTAATGAGAGAGCTAAAACTAAGAAGATCCGACTATCAACTAAAAATGACACAAGTCCTGTTAATTTGTTACTGTTAGTTAATTAGACAGGACTCTGTTCCTCCCACTCTATTTATTCCTCTCGTTTGTTTGCGATGGTGGGTCTTTTGGACTACGAGCTTTTAAAGGAATTCACTATGTGACTGAGCAGCACGTAATATGGTGAGGCTTCAGAGTTTCTGTGTCTTCCAGGTTTTACTGCCACCAAGCTATAAACAAGTCACCATAATATAAGTTAGTGCCCAACCTTATAGTCCAATAACTCTCCCTCTCTTGGAAATGCCTCTGCCCATGCTTTCACTCCATGAGGACTGATCCTGCTCCCCACTCATTCCCTCGAGTCACTTGGCAGAAAGGGGTCAAAGTATTCTGCTCTCAAGGGCTTCAATCAGAAATGACTGTGCCAAAGTGTGAGTATTACCTATTTAAATGATAAATTAATCCTGGCACAAATTGCCTGCCCATACGCAGCTTCTATTAGAGCAAAATGTTCTGCTTCAGTCTCTCTTCCAGGATTCTGCTCTGCTGCTTATAACAAAGGCCCCACATTCGACAGCTAGTGGGGCTTTACTGTATGTGGTTTTTATTCTTACTTAAGCATTTGCATTCTCATTTTTCTTGGGGGTTACTGCATTTCTTTATCATTCTGACAGTTCTATCAGACCTTTCTTTTCCTCCACTCCCTCTTCAAGGTGTGGCTAGTTGATTAAGGTGTTCTATGAGGAATTTAAATAAGTTTTGCTGCTCCAGAAGAATTAAACATAAAATATAAATTGCATCTATTCCCACATAAACAGCCAAAGTGATAAGAATTGTTTAATGGAGCCGGCAGTTATATTGATCTCTCCTTTTTTTAAAGCAGGGACTTATAGTTTAATCAGATCTCCAGATGTTTCCACCATTATTTACTTTGCCAAAAAAAAAAAAAAAAAAAAGAGGATTAATATCAAGAAGAAAGCAACAAGGGCTTTGCTTCACAAGATAAATAAAAATCAATTTTTGTTTGTTAACAAACTTGTTAAATGTTGCAAGGTAACAAATCCTGGGACACACTTGAGGATAGTGTTTACAAGACATACCGTGGTAGCCTTTTAAAAACAATTAAAATCATTTTCCGTGAACTGTGAAGTCTTTTGAGATAATTGCCCTGAGAAGATAATTACAATGTTAAATTATTTTTCATTACTTTTTGGTAGACAGATTTTTTTTCCCTCCTCTCTTTCTCTCCTTTGATAGTATAAGCAATTTCCAGGTATTTAGAAACTGGCTCAGGGGAAGGATGAGTTGTCTGTAGGATGGGTAGCAAACTATGTAAAATCATTGTGGCTGGTTCACTAGTTCAGTAATAGAATAAGCCAAAGGAGAAGTCATGCTTATCTGTGATGGTTTAGGGGCTGAATGAAGTGGTGGTGACAGTCCATTTCCTACTGAATGGCGATTCCTGTCCCTGAAGCCACCACCCCATTGGGCCACCATGGTCAGTCACCCCCACAGGAGGGAAGTTCGGAACATTACAAGAGTGAATGATGAACTTTGGGGCAGCCGTTTGGCCAGTGTGAGTCAATGTTCTCTAGCAGGGCTTCTATACTCCTTATCTGCTTTGCCAGTCTTTTTCTTCTTTTCCTTATGACTGAAAATTGAGTAAAAAGTAAAGAGGTAAACATAAAGAAGTCTCACCATTAAAATCACTCTGAGCACCAACACCATTATATATTTGTGTTAGTAATGCACACAGCAGTCTCTAGCACACATGAGAACTTCATTTTGTTGGGTACCACTATTGCACTAACAGTTAATTTCAATGTTTTCATCTCATGCAGATTTGGCATCTAAGTTTTAACTTTAAAAAACAATTAAATAATTAACTTATTATCAGCAAATTAAAATCTTAAGGCAGTTATCAGAAATTTTAACACAATCCACAACCCAGAGGTCTATGAAAGTGCAGTTCGTACTTCACCCATTCAGTGGACGTCAGAGTGTTTTGCTGCAAATCCAGCAGTCCTTCGTGTATCACATCACATTCTGCAGGTCTCCCAGAGCAGGACTCTGCTGGCCTCTTGTATGAATTGCTCTGTATAACTCTGCTCAGAAGGTATGCTATCTATATAATAAGTGGCAGCAGAGAGAGTGTATTTTCCATGTTAACTCTCTTGAATAAGACATTAATAGGTGGATTTTTCAAGTATAAAAATGATAGACAACACTATAAGCAGCAGCCAAATAGGTAACATAAATTAATGTAAAATAAATAAGGTCTTTCTATGATGCTAAACTACTTAACTGCAATTTGGTTTTATGCCCACAGTTCTAAACCTGTCAGTGTAAGGAGAATATGATTTTATTCTGAAGGGGTTACTGTAAAACATAATTTTACTTTTTTAATTCATATACAAAGCAATCTAGGACAAAATTTCTGTTCAGCTCAGTTCAAGCCCAAGTAGTAATTCATTGATTTAGCTTGAAATCTCAAACAAACCCAGCAGAAAAATGAAGGCTTGCCTGCAGCTGAAAATAGCATGGATTAACATGGGTGTGAATTTAAAGCGCACTTTTTGTTATATAGGGCCATATTTGAGTGTTCTTACTACAGAATACATGTGCCTTTTGGGGCTCTTCTGCTAAATGTAATCTATTTTGAAAATTTAGTTAATCAACCATGAGGTACTGTTCATCTGGAATAAAAGTTTCTGCACATGGAGTGAACCATTAAGTTTCACGAGGGATGAATCCGTCTGCAAAAAGCCCCTTAAAAACGGGTCACATCAGAAGTTCGGATGCAAACTCTTCCATGCTTTTTGAGAGTGTGTATCTCAACCTAAATTGTGCAGCTGGCTTCAGCACCTGAGCAGTGGGATGACACAAACTCCAAGACTTGATCACCCCCGAACACATGGCATATCTGCATTCAGGTGAAAAGATAGTGCTAATGTCATGACTTGAGTTTCTCAAGCTTCAGCCTAGAGTCTAATTACACTAACTACTTGGAATATTTAATTGAACCTGGAACTCAAAAGGAGCCGAGACCTCAAAATGAAACAGCTCATACAAAATCTTGCAACACTGAATCATTTAATTAAACAAATATCTAGTTATACTTAGGCTGTCTTCCTCTGATAATTTTATCATTTCAGTGTATTTTGATAGTAAAATATGAACTGCTAGGTCTTTTTCTTTTCACAGCATCAGGATGGCCTCATTCATTCTTCTTAAAAGCATGCATTTTAATAAATACATATTTTAAAAAAACTGTTTAGAAAATTTCAGTTAAGATTCAACTGTGCATGTCGTCAGTTTTGTTTGCTTGTTTTAATACAGTCTCAGACCAGTTACATTCAAGGTGTAGTTGAAGAAATGCATCCTCTTTCATATCACATCTTGAGCTGGCTTTACATTTTCAGTCCTAGTGAACTGTGGCAAAATCCTAAGGCCAAACTTTATCCTGAACTCACATTCCCTTTGTTCTATGTACGAACATACATGGAATAAAGACATACCTACTTCTTTGCTTGCACAATGCACAGCATAACAATTCCCATTTATGATTGGGACCTGCTGGGTACTACCATAACATTAGCTGTTATTTATAGCAATCTGTCTATGACATTGTAAAAACTTACCTTCCTTTTATCATCAAGAGACACTGCTTCCAGCTCATAATCTTGTCGCCCGTGAAACACAATGCTGAAGCGCCTCCTTTCAGTATCTTCACAGGCTTTGACTTGTGAGAAAGGGAACTGTTTCTTAATAATTCCTTTTTCAATGTTAAAAATGGTCTTTGTGTTGAAATCAATCTGGAATAGAAAGTTCTTCATTACTTGACTCCATCACTTCTCTTCATCGAAAGGGAAAGACAGCATCCCCAATATTACCATGCAAGGGCATTTAGATAAAGGACCAGCTTAGAATATGTATCTATCTTGCCCATGAATAGAATGAAAAATGACATTCCATCATCAAGATACGGTACTATATTTGTTTTAGTTACAAAACAAAACAGATATTCATTGTAACTCTGTTTCCCTATCTCATTTGATGAATATGCATCAATTTATCACTCTGAAATACTATTTCTTTTTAAATTCTCCTTGTCTTATACAACCCAGTGCAAAAACTTCCCATTCAGCAGTAGTGGTAGCACAAACTAATGGCATGACCATCTCAGCAGAGATTCAATTACTAACTTGTTCAACCTATGCCCCAGTACTAGAATGAAGTGAAGGTGGTTATTTTTATAACAGCTGCTTCTGTATCAGGAAGAGAGGATACTATTGAGAGATTACTTTCACATATAAATATTACTGTGTTGTGGTTTAGAACTTATCTAACACAGATTTTTTGTCTGTATGTATATATACACATATATGTGTACATATAGGTGAAGGGAGCGATGATAATAGCCAATAAAGTTATTTTATTGTTGTTTCACAGCTATAACAATTAAAAATTGTTTGCATCAAAATAAGATTCTTCTTCCACTGCACAATCTATATTTGCAGTGTTAAAAACTGGTACAGACAGATTCCAGTATCTGTTCTATGTGTCAGTCCCTGTTGAGCAGAAACAGCTTTGTTGATACAGTAAGATGTGATATTATCTGCCTGCCCAGCTTCAGTGAACGCAGCCCACAGAGAAGACAAACTCAGAAGAGTCTCAGATCTCGCCCGAGTCAGATATTTACCTTTGGTCATAAATGATTCTTGGCACCTTTCATTCCTATAATACAGACCACGCCAACCAAATGCTAACACTATTGCCTTTCCCTCTGTTCTGTTTATAGCAGGAAATCTCAAAAACAGAACCATTCTCATTATTAGCTCTGACTTTTGAAGGCTGCTGGTAATTAGAGAACTGAAATTAAACTATTCCAGATTCCCAAACTGATAACCACCACATCTAATATATCTTTCTCCATTTTTCCATCAGCTTTATGTCTAAACAAATAATCTTTTCATTTCCAAAACTGGTGGATATTGAGGGAAATAAGGAGCCTATACTTTCTACAACTGAGATGTAGTAAACAAAAAAGCACCCTCTAGCCTGTATGACTTGGACTTGCTCATTACCAAATTTTGTCCAAACTGCAGGAAAAATTCAGTGAAATCCAGGTTACTGGAAACAACATGAAACCTTCGTCACTGACTTCATGGAATCAGGAAATCACCATCAGGTGTTATCGACAGAAGTTTACTTTAATATCGTTCACATGTTGTCCCATTATGACATAGCAAGTCAATAAAGCCTTAAGGGTTCATGATGTCAAAAAAAGAATTCACAGGACAGAGTAACCAGAGATGAAATGCATAGCCTGCCAAAGGAACCTTCTGCATATCCCCAGGAAGATTGCTTCCCAAGGTTTTAGAGACTGCAGTTGAAGTGATGTCCTGTCAAAAGGGACAGGTATTTAAGTATGCCTACATCACTTGTATTCATTTACTGTTGCTAGCTAATAAGAACTCCCAGGCAAAGCCTATTATAATAAATCCTCTTTGTGGTGAATCATGTTTTTTAGAGGTGAAATAACCTCTTAGATTGTCAAGTCCATTCCACGGCCCTGCCAGGGGCTCAGTAGAGGGATTTGCAGATGTTACCCCCAGAATACTTTTGGTGTAAAAGGTAGAAAGCTGGTCAATGTCTTGTACCTCTCTGATAGGTTGCTGAACCACAGGATGTATTAAGCTATCTCATAACATTTATTAAGCAACATAAGCATCCTATATTTTTATATATTTCTTCAAAAGTGAGAATTTTTAAAGTTACCTGCAAAATTCGTTTCTGCCACCTATAGTGTTTGTATTTGTAGATACTGAAGTTAAATTGTGAGCCAGTTAGCAAATCCTGTGAATCCTGAAAAACAGAACAAGAAGTCAGTAGTATGTCCACACTGTTATTTTTTGTCCACTCAAATCCAGTGGTGTTCTTGGGTAAAATCTCCCTCAGTGAACAGTGTTCAAACAGCGCTGGAGGCTTTGCAGAAGAACTCCACAAGGAGATACATGGAAGCATCCTCCTGACCTGATTTTCACAAGCACAAAATATCCACAACTCCTACTGAACTAATGAAGGGATCACAGACTGGGATGGAAGGTGAAAGGGAGAGCAGGAAGACAGGAAGGGGAAGAGCAGAGCCCGTGAAATTGTACTAAACACATTTCAAAACATATGAGTACAAGCAGATTATTAAAAGGACTAAGTAGGAAACAAGAACCATATGTGACTTTAAAGAAAAAGTTACAGACCCTTGAATGCAGTGCAGTAAAATGGAAGATCTTTGTTCCTTCTTATTCTATGAATGTATACAATTTGTTATCTGGTCCCTTACAGCAGCTATAGTGTGTGCATGGGAAATGACTAATTTTATAATCTTCAGGAAAATGCAAAGAAGGGAAGGCCATTATCCAGCTATATTAAATTTGATTTAGTTCTAATAATTAGCTATCACAAAAACTTTAATGCAGCAGAAGTAGAATATATTTCCATGTAGTCTTACACTGCTGAGTTTAATACTTTTGTTGACTGCAGCCCTTCTGCAAAACTTGCACTGCTTTTTTATTAGTATTTATTTTTGCTGCTTCTTCTACTTCTTTCCAGCCAAGAAGTTAATAAGCAGTTCAGAAAGTTATTTTTAAAAATTCCAAAAAGCACCAGGTTTATCTCAAAATCACTATCAGCTCCTGTGGTGCAAAAAAATTTCAGATTGTGTCATTAGCACATCACAAGATTTCACTGTTTCCTGGAGATGCTCCCATAGGAAGGCTGGTTCAAAAATCCAGAGCAGAAGGGGAAATAGATAGTGAAAATTTCTCCAAAGAATTCTCTGCTGGCAATTCTGTGTTGATGATGGACTGAGATTGCAACGAGAGAGATACTGGACAGGGATTACAGAGAGGAGTACAAGACTGATGTACTAATGTACACAATTAATGTACTCCTCAAACTATTTCCACTCACTGCTATCAACTTCTACTTTTCTCAGAAAAGAACTTCCATGTTTTCTATAAAATTGAAAGATGCTAATGATCCACTTCTGATTGTTAATGAAGAGATTAAGGCTTTAAGAGTAGAAAATTGAGATTTTTGTCTCTCAATCTGATCCTGAAGAAATCTCTGGACTAGGCCTCTTGGTCTCGTTGACCTATGCTCAGCAAAGCTACGTTGTTGTAGGACCCAAAAACAGTTTTAAGCCACCTTTACACTGATTCTGCTTTTGCCTGGTGGAAGGTCGGAGCCAACCATAGGAAATGTTAGAACTGAAGTCACACCGGCCAAGGCTTTGCACTTTTGTAGCCAGCCATTCTTGTGGCCATGCATAACGCTGAGTTGTCAGACCCTCTTTTGGTGACCAGTCATGCCCCAAGGACAACCCAACACTAGGAGACCCCTCAGAGATTAGATCCATCATTTTCCTGAGGTGCTTCATGGTATCAGCCCAAGGATTTTGCCCTACATTTATTGTTACAGTACTTGATGATGCACTCGGAATAACGAAACTCGTATGGATACATCTGATCTAAATTACTTAATCCAGGTAGTGACATCAATGTAGCTGCAACATCTACATGGAATATCCATTACATAGGATACAGGTAGCATTAGCCATTAGTATCTGACATATTTGGTCATAAACTGGAGTGTATATGTTTGCACAAGTTGGGACTGCATCTTTGAAAGCAATACAGACTTGCTCCTAACGCTCAACCAGGCTTTCCAGAACATGCTCATACATTTGAATGTCTTGCAAAATAGATCAAAGGAGTGGCCTTACCTTTTCAGCATATACCTCTTTCTGTGCCAAATGCAAAGCTCCTTCAATGCTCACTTCTTTATTTTTCACCATGTTCATAATTTTGAGGATTTTTTCCTGGCTTAACTGGAACAAAAGTCAATCAAATGTTTTTAGAGACTGTTTTTTCATCTGGCTTTTGAGGATACAGAGTGCTAGTGACAGTTACAGCTATGGTATCTGCCATAAAATTACAATTTCATTCATATTTTATGTTCTATCGACAACCTGCCCAGCAAATATAATCTCCCTTTGAAACCTGGTGAGAGTCCACAACATATCAAATATACAGGGGCTTTTACAATTTTAGAAGATGGGGTGGTAATATCTGGAGATAGAACTGCCAGGAGGAAATCTTTTTTAGTTAGAAAATCTGGCAAGAAGTGAAAACATCAATTTTGCATGCTTGCCTGTGTCTTGCCCTCAGTGTAAAGTACTGCATACAGACAACATGAAAGCAAAATCAGGACCATTCAAAATTTTCAGGGTGAAGGGGGGAAAAATTGATGTTGGTACCAGCAGGTACAGCCACCATGTGACCTTATCTAAACATGTTAACAAGCCAGCATTACATTTCCCCTTTCTTTTACTGAAAAAGGAGGTTGTCGATAAGCTTACACACAAATGTATGTCACTCTTAAGTGAACCAGGTGGGCATTGAAATGCCAAACAGGAATTGAGCAAAGAAAACAGGCAAGCGGAGTAATCAGGGACCCAGAACTACAGCCGCTGACACTGTTGGTAAAGCTCTTTCATGGACTTTGTAGAAAGAGTAAAGCACCTCCCTTTGAGACATACCAAAGAGTGTGTGATATCCATTCTTCAACAGTAGCAGAATTGGGAATTTGGAAGGAGTGTGTACGTTTTACCACAAGAGCTCAGGAGCTTGTGATTTTTTTGTCCAGAACCTTAGCTGCAATATTCAATTAGCTAGAGCAGACAATGTTTCCTACCTCACCGTTAGGAGATAAGTTACTACAATAAAATCATAGAATCATAGAATCATAGAATCGTTTAGGTTGGCAAAGACCTTTAAGATCATCCAGTCCAACCATTAACCCACACTACCAAGTCTACTCTAAGCCAATCAAGGGTAGACTAGACTAAACCATGTCCCGAAGTGCCACATCTACCCGTTTTTTAAACACTTCCAGGGATGGGGACTCCACCACCTCTCTGGGCAGCCTGTTCCAATTCTTGACCACCCTTTCCGTAAAGAAATTTTTCCTAATTTCCAACCTAAACCTCCCCTGGCACAGCTTAAGCCCATTTCCTCTCGTCCTAAGCCCATTTCCTCTCGTCCTAAATCTTTCTTTCAAATGTTTTAGAAGTGTGTTAAAACTCTTCCACACGGACATCCAGGTGAAGAGCCCTCCCCAGGAGTGTTGCCCAGGCTGTGCAGGAGCAAGGGGAAGGGGCAGGAGAGATGTCTCAGGGAAGAGGAAGGGGGCCTCCCCTGCACCCCTATTGCCGGAGCTGCCCTGGGGACCAACGCCTTCAGAGCAAGGCAGCTCAAAGCATCTCACCCCTGCAAGCAAACCTGAATTTGGCTACCCCAAGGATGAGGCACCAAGACCTGGAGTGGGTTTTGCTGTTCCTGCCGTATGAAGAAAGAAGGCAAAGAGCTAAAGACAGGCATCGCTAGAGAGGCAGGTCTGCTGCCCAGCCGGGCCAGGGTGGGTAGAAACCAGGGCTCCTCAGAGCTGCCAGTTTTGCTGCCTGAGGCTTGTGATTGCTACCCCCAGCAGCAGCCACCAAGCTGCTTCCCAGAGCTCTGAGGCCGGCGGAGCAGGCGGAGCAGGCAGCAGGGCTGCAGCTGCTTTGCCACCCCCAGCACCTTCCTGTGGTAACCAGCTGCTTGCTTTACCTACGCCTACAGCTCTCCACAGACACAGCAGCTTCTCTGCTAAAAAACCCAGCAACGCAGCCTCGCGGCAGAACAAGATCCTCTCCACCCATCCAAGCACCACGGTCACCTGACGCAAGTCTGATGGGCAACATAAAAATAATCAGTCACACCACAGAGGTCAGGGACCAGCAAATCCGCAGGTTTTCTCTTTTTCTGAGCCACACCACACCGAATGCGCTTACCAAATTTCTAACCTCTCAACCAGTTCCTGATCAACAGACACATTGTATGTTTTTACAGCCTACAAATAAAACTGGGAGTAAAAGAGGAAGAAATATTTTGGTTTTAAAGCCTTGGAATTTTCAATGCTAATATAAAGGTAACTTATGGCATAGCTCCCAGCTGCAAATAGTAATGTGAACAGTGAGGAAAGAATGAAAGCAGTCTGATAATTCATTCACACTTGCTGAGGCACCGAAGGTTCCTACAATGACCTCCACATTCTGTATTTGAATTTTAAATGGCCATATATTTAGACCGCACATACACCGTATACGATTAGATCTTAACAAGATAATTCCCCACTGAACAGGCTCTGTGTAAGCAAACAAGAATATGGATGTATTTGAATTGAAAAATATAGTTTCCTTAAGGCTAAGCTCTGCCAGCTTTAAAGTGCAAGATCTTATTTATACAGGATAGCAATTCTTAATAGGAAGCTGGATAGTATATTCGCAACTGTTAGGCCCTTTAGTATGGAGAAGGGTTCAAAGATTTTGCTGCAGGATGACAATGATAACATAAAGATAACATCGTAGCCTTATGTCAAAGGCATAGTCTGATTAACATAAACAAGAGAAGTATTTATTTCCTTCGCTTCAGTACACAAGTAATTCAATGAACAAGCTCACTTCTTATTTGAATCTCATGGTGTTGCACAGCTACACAATATATCGTGCACATCTGCAGGGATGCTTCCTAAGAGTGGCCAAGAAATCAAGAGTTTCAACTTGAAAAATATGAGGCGCTGAATTTTTTTTCCTAGCATATAGGTGATTTCCGTCACCACCCCTGTGGTGGCAGGCTCCATACTCTGCAGTGCCCAGTGCCCCAAGCACTGGGTATTTTAAGGTCTGTCTTTCTGGCCAAATATTTTATCTAAGACCAAGAAACCTTGCCACAACATCTCTACCAAAACCAAGACGTTTTCTTGTAATTCATTGTGCTTCTCTTTTGCATTGCTGAAAATTTTCAAAAGCTCTTTTTCTTTTTTTTTTCTTTTTTTTTTACTTTTTGCAAAAAAATTGCAGAAGGGAATGCATTTTTGGCTCTGTCAAGTATTCAGCTCTTTGTTCTGCTTACCTTCACCAAAGTCTCCTTTAGACCAGAATGAAATTCTGCCCAAGACATGAAAACAACAGGGAACATCTCTTAATTTGCTTAATAATGTATGAAGAAAAATGTTTGCAAAAGAGAAGAAAATCATTTTGTATATTGCAAATTCAGGAAGGTTAGTTAGTAAGTTAGACTACTGACAGTTAATGCATTCCCCAGAGAGCACACAAAAGACGGTGCTTGGTACAGGTTATTTTTAACAGCACCCTGTTGTTTTAATGCTTCTGTTAACTCTCTCTCTCTCTGCACATCTGTAAGCAGGAGGGAAACGTTTCAAAAGACAAGAGAGGCACTTTTTAGCTTATGAGAACTGTCAAAATTATTTGTCAGAAGTCCGTCTGGCTCGCTTAGGTTTTTGACAGCCACACGTTAGCATGGTATTTTTACTTGCAAACAGGACTTGAGTAACATGTCCTGACCTTTATCATTTTGTATCTGTAGGGCTTTTCTCTCAGCATGTCACAATTTTTGTAATGCTCATTCTTGTGTTTGTTTTGGTTACATTTTTCTTTTTAAAAGAAACAGTTTTTGTCATATTATCCACTGAAATGCCACTAAGTCAGATCGTGTTAGATTGCCTGATAGAATATGACTGGTGCAACCAAACAGAATGTTTTCGTACAAGGTTGGATAACAAAACTTAGAAAAAAAATTAAATGCTTCTATTATAAAGTATGCACATTAAGGAAATACATGAGATTGCATTAATAATGCATTTGTTTACCTGCCAGGTTAAAGAAGCTTGTTTAAAACAGATTAAGTTTTCATCACTCACCCAAAATTCAGTATAGCCACATAAGTGATTTGAAAGAAAAATCAACGCTCACAATTGAAGGAAGAGCGTAGGGCTCCAGGCATTCTCCGTATATCCATTACTCTGCAGGGTGAGGTTTTTATATTTTTGGCCCAGATGTGGTATAAAATGCATTTAGTGGTGAGATATGAGATTTCTGGCTTATTCTTGGGCAGCTGCCAATGCAGTATGCTACATGACCCCTTCCAGGGCTTCCTGCCACTTTCTGTTTACCCAGCACAGTCTCACAAGAGGCCCTAAGACGTGCGGAAGGTTTTGCATGTAGTTTCCATGCTGTGGAAATATTACTCTAATGACTCCAGAAAGGTCCCCAGACCTTCTGTGCATCAACCAAAAAAGAGGGGTTAAAGCCACGTCATCCGAGTCGTTTACAGTTGATTGAGCAAAGCAGCGGACGGCATGCAGAACATGGGTAACCGTTCAAGGATAAGACAGGCTAATGTCTTCCACTGTCTCTTCTTTCTGACTCTTATCCTCTAACATACACTGGTTCACATTCCCAAATCAACCACAGGATTGCTGTGACTCTTATGCAGTCAGTGGAGATACCTGGGCTTCTCTAGGTGGCAATTCAGCACATGTAAGACCTGTCTCATTATCTGACAACCCTTTCTCTCCATCACCTACAGAGGAATTCAAGCTACGTGGCTTTTGCTCAGCTTATTCTTATTCTGTAGACCATCCTACCTGAATCATAGTAATATGACAGCAATCTAATGCAAAAAGACTCCTGGAATGTGTGCATGTACACCCATGGAGATGTAGAGCAAGAAATCTGGCTGTCAGTCAGCTATACATATCATCTCAATTATTACAAATACTGGCACGATTCAGTGAGACATTATTTCAGGTTTACTTAGGTGAAGATCATAGCTAATATGCACCGAGCTCTATCATTTCCTGTGACAACAAAACCAAGTCATGCAGAAATCCTGCTCCCTGTACAAATGAGGAGAAATTTTTATTCAAGTCTAGTCAAGCATTTCACTGTTAAGCATTCCTTACACTTGTCTTTATTAAACATTAACA